CTTTTTTTAAGCCTATTTCATACATGAAAAGTTGCCTGACTGGGGTTTTAGTTGAAGTTCCCTCCTACCCATTTCCAGCCATTGGTCATCCAGTTGGAGTAGATAGCCCCATGAGAAGTCTAAGTCCTTCACCAAGTAGAAGTGTTTTTAGTTGTCTCCCGCTGCGCCCCGGATTGGAGGAGTCTTTTATTTCAATTTAAAGCAGGAATTTGAAAGGCAGCCAGTCGATATCTAAAAGTGCTTCCATACAATCCTCAAAATAAGTCCTGCTACCTGCAAACCATTTCCAATTACCGGTGGCCCATACGAGATTTCCAGGCGAGCTTCTCTTTTAGAGAGCTCCCTGCCAGAAAGCAGTTCTCTTACTCAAGCCAGGAAAGCCAGTCTTCGTCTTTCTTGAAGCCAGTGTTAGTCGTGCTTCCATTCAATATCCATCCGAGTTTTTTTGTAGTCATTTTCATACGAGTTTCGAAGAATGCTTTTCTTTATAGTACTAAGGGCTATACATATAGTTGAAGTGGTCAGTTTATCCAATTACAGTATGAGTTGCCCTCTATCCCGTGAGACTTCTGTTACATCCCGTGAGACTTTCCTTCCAGAGATTGAGCCCTGTCTGTAATCCAGTTCGTTCAATCAAGTTCCAGCAAGCAAGCGACGGGCAATTGTAGGTGTAACAGTATTTGGTTTACCACCCAGTAAATTTTGATCTTTCTCTGGCAGGGCTCTAGCTAACATATGGATATCTTTACATGGGGTTTGAGTTGCTGGTGCCTTACATGTTGTTGGAAGTTGCCTGCCAGCCTGAGTTATTATTTTTAAAAATAAAGGATCTTGCTTTAAAAGTATACCCAAATCTCAAACTAAGGACCTCTGTATTTTATAATAAAAAATATCAAAAAATAAATGGCTGTTTTTACCTTTCTTTTTAAATAATCTTTGGTATTCGTTTTCATTTGCTTTGTAACCCTTTTCTTTCTTTAAAAAAGGTTTTTTCTTTCTGGGGGAAAATGTGAAGCAGTTCTTTTTCATGTTTCCCAAAGTAGTTACTCTTGGTAGATGAGTTGACAGTTTAGGCTTGTGATTTATTTAGTACCACCAACTTGCAGGTGTTTTCCTAGCAGTTTCTTCAAATACCCGTTACCAGATCATTAATGGACTGGAGCGCCTGGTAGAAGCATCGCCATTGGCTAAGCAGTTCCAGCCTGTTGCAATGGCTTTCACAGTTGGAGTCCGATTCACAAACAATGTATATGGTGGGATGCAGTTCGTGGATTGGGCTAGATGGAGTGGGGTGCAATAACTTGCTTCATTTATGTGGTCAGAATATAATCTATTCTCTACCCATTTGATGCCTGTCGTGCCTGATCTTTGAACACCTTAAGCATCAGCTAAGTATTTTTCTTAATCAAGGTATTCACTTTTGAGTTTTAGAAGCAACGAAGGCATCTCTTTCTTGTTGCTTGTTTGGCAAGGCAACTTGGTCAGAAATTTCTCCTGTGAGTTTGGATGCCAATGCATAATGAGAATGATTTCTCGTGTTTGGCCTTATTTATTTTTATTTTTTGAATTTGGCTCTCATCAGATAATTTCTTTTTCTCGCTGTGTCTAAATAGAGAGAAATGAGGGAAATTGAAGTTTCACATTGTTTGGAAGTTAACTGGACAGAAATTAGAGAAGAGAAAGCTGGAATTTTTCATTTACCTCTCCACGTTTTTTTTTTTTTTAATTTGTACTTCTACGATTTTATTTCTCCTGTACATGTTTGTTTAAAAATTATTTTCTAAATATATTACTCATGAAAAGTGAAAAAAAAAAAAAGTAAAACTATGACCATATATATATATATATATATATCGTATGATAATAATTTTTTACTAAT